AAAATATTATATGCTTTCCTTTAGGTTTCTTGAGGTATTAAAATGTGAGCTTTAATTATGAACAAGTTAGGCTGTATAGGTATAAAAATCATCAAAGCAGTTTATAAACAATACTTGCCCATTTAGCATACAGGAAAGATTTACATGCCTATCCACATCACTTCACATGGTCTAGTACAATGCTAGGAATATAACAATTATGTAATAAATAAGGTATTACCTATTGAGTAACTCATTAGGTTAGATTTGAGATGAGTACATAATTTGCTTACTAATTTAGTTAATCAAAATCATCCTGATAGTTTGCACATGGATTTCAAGAACTTAGGAGGGAAAACAGACTGCACTGATTCCTTCGTGTTGAAAGTACCTTCACTGTATATATTGCTGATATCACACCAACTCAGTGTGACTACTGCTGTGGTCTGAATATTTGTGTCCCCCCAAAATTTGCATGTTGAAACCTAATCTCCAACGTGATCGTATTAGGAGGTGGAGCATTTGGGAGATGATTAGGTCATGAGGGCTCTACCCTCATGAAATGGAATTAGTGCCCCTATAAAATAGGCCCAAAGGAGCTCATTTGCCCTTTCCACCATGTGAGGACACAGTAAGAAGGCACCATCAATGAACTAGAAAGCAGGCCCTCACCAGACACCAAATCTGCCAGCACCTTGATCTTGAACTTCCCAGCCTCCAGAACTGTGAGAAATAAATTTCTGTTGTTTCTAAACCACCCAGTCTATGGTATTCTGTTATAGCAGCCCAAACAGACTAAGATGACTACTTCATACCCCTCCCAACTTCACCATTCTGCATTTGTCTAGACTTAAAAGGTAAAGGTATGGCAAAGGAGACATAGTGCCCCACACTGAATTTGAAACCCTTTCCTGAGTACTCTTTGCTATTAGAGAGTACACAGCAGAACAAATCAAAAGTTATTAAGAATTCAAGAGCATGTGGAAAGTCTTTGGTCAAATTAAATACCATACACCAGGGTCACAAAGACATGCTGTGTGTCCAGGAAAAAAGAAGAAAATGTTGAGATAAATGAACACATGTCCCAAATTTACACATTGAATTTGGCTGACAATAAAGGTCAAATGAAGAGACAGAGTAATGTTACTGTGCAATGATTTGTGACCTCTCTGCTAAAGACCTTTGCCTGTTTGCGAGTTTGTTCTTTTACTTGCTTTCCAGTAATTACCTAATACCTTGGAGCACCAGCTCTGGAGTCTGAATGCTCGAATTAGAATAGAATTGCTCTCACTAATTGGCAAATTAATTAACCTGTTCTTATCTGCATAATGAGAATATGAATAGCACCTCTATGATAGAGTTGTTGTAAGGATTAAGTAAAATAATACATGTAAGTATGTAGTAGCATGCCTGGCACATAGGAAGTGTTCAATAAATTATTATTATTCAGCATAATGAATTAATATAAAGAGACAAATTCACAATAAAATTCTCCCAGGATAGCCTTCATAGATGTCAGCTTCTTCCACACATTTGTCTCCCCACTTTGATGTACTGGGGGTAAGGGAAACCCACTTTTAATGTTTCTCTTCTAGTCGGCACTATTACAATATGTTCTCAACCATTGTTACAGAATAGCTAAATGGTGTTCCAAGGACAAACTGCAAAACTGAATGAATCTTCCTGAAGCCTTTTTAATCCTATCTGAGATCTTATTTTCAAAATATCTATTTTCCAACCACATTTCAGGAAGATTTTTTTTTTTAGTCTTTGAATATCTAACTATACATTTGCTAGCCAAAATATACTTCTACCACTCTTTGCTGAGTAAAGCTGATTTATCCATGGGGATTCTATTCTGAAAATTTTTCTCTTGGGCTATTAAGCTGTATCCAATTTCCAGGCAGCTTGATGCCTTCATCTTTAGGGTTGAAGGATTCCATTTTGCTTCATCCATCAACCACAAAATAGAGAGATCAGGATTCTATTCTGAAAATTTTTCTCTTGGGCTATTAAGCTGTATCCAATTTCCAGGCAGCCTGATGCCTTCATCTTTAGGGTTGAAGGATTCCATTTTGCTTCATCCATCAACCACAAAATAGTCAACCCCTTCTTTATTGCAAAGCCACATTTCTAATGATAATGAAAGCAACTCAGGCTGCTAAGTTGAGTCAGCAATTTAAAAATAAAACTTCTTTGACCAATGAACATGATCAAATTTGAAAAGCAACTGATAAAGAGAAGGACAAAAATGAAACCTTCAAGGTTTTATTATTTTATGTCACTGAATAAAATGGATTTTTATGTCTTTGAACAAATATCTCTTCTCATTTCCACATAATTTTTTTTATATTTCTCCCCTTTGTCCATATGCACAGTCTGTATTAATTAGCTAATGACAAGTATTATAAATGCAAGAAATCATTAAAATACCAATATTTGATATATGTATTAAAATAGAAAATTAAATGGATAGTAATACATTTTTAGCAGTCAACTGCAAATTAACTTAGACATGATGGAGTGGAGCAATTTAATATTTATTACTTCTTGTGTAGCAATTTTTTATAAATGTCTCTGTGACTTCAACATAGCTTTTTCCTGATGGGAATTTTAATACTTTTGTTGTAGCACCAACATTCTATTTTTAAAATATATAGGTTTATCACAAGTATTAATTTCAAATTTTTTAATTTTATTTTTATGTACTTTTGCCTCATCTACCAAAAATACCACTATCAAGAATCAATCTAAGATAAGATGGCTTCTCTCGCCCTCTCATCCAGTAGCACTCTCTCATTCCTCTGAACTTCCAAAGTTTTATCTGTCCTCCTCATTGTGTCCTAGTCATTATATTTTGCCCTTTATTGGATTTATGCCTCACCCATCTTTTCTTCCAAGAAAAATCACGTAATTTTCTACTGTGTTGTGTAGTTCTTTATTTATACTTCATCTCCCCCATGCCAACATAAGCTTCTTACGGATATAGTCTGTGTATCTTGGTAACCTCCAGAGTACTTGGTAGAGTGCCTTGCAAAGAAGAAGCATGTAACACATCTGTGAAATTAATGAATAGATTAATATTTGTGCAAAAAAATGCTTATCAAATGAAAAATAAAACCAATTCTGTCATTATTATACTAATGTGGGTTGGAGTTATTATCTTTAAGAGGAATTATAGGAGAAACAATATAATTAGTGAGGGTTCTTGCTAGTAAATTTCCTTATGTATATAATCATGAACAAGATAGGGCTATTTTTACACTATATCTACACAACTTATTGAAAAGCTTATAAGCAAAATTTGCCTGTGAATAATATATACTTGTTTCTGCTGAAAATAAACCACCGGTTTAGATGACTGTGGTTTTATAATGAATTACCTGGTTTGGGGGATATGGTCAATATGGCTACAGTGATAGGGCCTGTCTTGAATGGAAGGAAATAGGTCAAATATTCCCTTGACTTGGTCACATGTTGTAATGGATATGGTGAAAAGAGCATTGGTTTTAGAATCAAACAGACCTACTTTCAAATGCTTGCTTTGCCAACAACTCGCTGTGTGACCTTGGCAGTTTACTAATTCAATCTTTAAGTCTAAGTAATACATACTCTGGCATGGGTTCATGTAGGGGTAGATAGCTGTGAAATAGTGTGTGGCATATAGTAGGGCTCAGTATGTCCTATTTCTTATTAAAATCCCAGAGTGATTTAACTGAACTGTGAGCCATAATCTAGTACACAATCATGGTTTAGTAGATGATCTACAAAATAGGATAAGATACGTGAAAAGTTTATTATAGAGCAGTACTTGGCGTATAGTAAGCCCTTGATCAATATTAGAGGTGGTGGTGGTGGTGGTGGTTGAAAACTATTGCCTCAGTGTGGAAAACACACTAATATTTAGCAAACATGGCCTAATTATAATGAACATCAACCCATCCCCATTAGGTAGTTCCAAGTCTTACTACTCTATTTTCTTTAATGCCCCAGTTTTCTTCCTCCTGTCACTTGTCTCAATTGTCATGAAATAATCAATTACACAGTACATTCTTTAATATCTGTCTCCCTAAGAAAGTGTCCACTCCATGAGAGCAGAGACATCTGCCTTGGTCACTGCTAAATCCTGATAACACAGCGCCTGAGCACTCAGTAAATATTTGTTGGATGAATGAGTGAGTCACTGACTATTATTATACACACGCCTAGTATTGTGCCTGACACAAAATAAGTACTGAATAAATGTTTGTGCAACTGATTTGTCAGTAGCGTTCATTATAAATTTCTAAAGAAAACTGGTTACTTCCTTATAATAAGTTATCCTTTATAAAAAAGAAAAATGTGATTTAATGATAACATCAGCAGAAGAAAAAGCTGCCCATCCAAAGTCTTTTATTATAAGTCTTGCCTCTCAAACCAAAACTACTAGGCACAAAACAGGCACTCAAAATAGCCCTTTGAATGGAAAATTCTAATCATGCATTTGACATTGTCATCATTTTCTTGACTCCCAATTGTTAAGGAAAAAACAAAATTATCTGGAAAAAAGAAAACATACAACTCTGTAAAACTCAAACATTTTTCTGCATTATTTCTTTCTTCCCTTTATTGGTTATACACACATCTTAAGTCTCCATTTTTTTTAAAGGATTTGTGTAACTGCATTTTAAAAAGGAACAAAAACGAATGTTCTTGGAATTAAATTGTAAGACAGAATAATTATAGCAAGTATTTGTTTCCATTAAGTATCTTTGGATCCTTGACAGACTCTTAGTCTTTATCAGTGAAAAAGAAATTAACCATATTTTTAATTTATCTTTCTCAATCATGTTGAAAGCAAAAAAAAAAAATCTTTTTTTTAACTATGCTATGCAATAGCTAAAAACAAAATGAGCTAATTAGCCTCTTTCACATGGCCCATCTCAAAGAGATAAATAGTGCAGTAACAGTTTGGAAAGCAAGTAAAGCCACACAGTGTGAGGATACAGGGAGTCTAAGCTGATTAATAAAACCTTGACAACACATCACATCCATCTTTGTGCTCTTCCCCATCCCTTCTTCTGCCTCCCTTGCCCTATATAACCACTATCCTGGATATTTGGTTTATTGTATCACATTTTTTTTCTAAATATAGTATTATCACATATATATGTCTTTCTAAAAATATATTGTTTTGTTTTAAGTTTTTTTCTATATTTATTCAATGGATTCATGCTGCAAGTAATCTTCTGAAAGTGACCTTTTTCATTCAATAGCATATTGCTCAGAGTTATCATATCATTGCATCTAGTTCTGATTCATATATTTTTAAATTACATAATATCCCAATTGTATAAGCATTACACAATTTATTTACCCATTTCCTTGTCAAAGAACATTTGGGTTGTTTCCAATTCTTGATAGTATGAACAGTGCCTCTAAGAAAATTCTCATACATGTCTCCAGCTGTGCTTATGGAGTTCTTTGGGAATGTACTTAAGAGCAGAGTTGCTGGTCTTAATGTATGTAAATGTCCAACTATACAAAATAACACCAAATTATTTTCCAAAGTGGGTTATATCAATTTGCATTCCAACAAGCAACACAGAAATGATCTTACTGGTCCACACCACATCTCTAACATGTGGTATTTCCCGAGTCCTTTTTTTCTTTTTTTTTTTTTTTGATAATTGAAGTTAGTTATTGTAAGTTCTTGTCGATGTTTTAGTTTTCATGCTGTATTGTATGTTCACGTGGTTATATTATCTTATTCAAAAATAAACCAGAAAAAAGTAAAAGAGGGGTTATTCTTGATAAGAGAATGCCATGAACCAAAGATTATAATTAATCCAATTTTGTGTATTTAAGGTCCAGAGGAGGGGTCCTGGGAGAGGTGGATAGGGAATCCTAGCCCTGGTAAAGACCTCAAAGATTACTTCTAAGAAATATCTTGACAGGAAGGGCAGAAGGTCTTGAAATAAAATGTTCCTCCAGTACACTGTGCACCAGCCCATCTCTCTCCTTTCTGACTCATCTTGTCTACTCAGAGACGCAGCCCATCTGAGGGTAATCGTATCTAAGAACATGTTTAAGTCCTTTGAAGGAAAGATGGTGAGAACTCACCATACTCTTGTTATCCGATCTGATGGCAATACCGCACAAGTATGAAGTAGGGTGACAACCTCTCAGGAATGGTGTGAAAAACTCACCTGAGATTGTATTTTCTTCTAGGATATGGCATTGGTCTGCCGCCCAACTCTCCATTGACCTCCAACATATCTGAGCTAATCAGTCAATACAAGTCCCATGGGTTTATGGATGTGCTGCATGACAAGTGGTACAAGGTGGTTCCCTGTGGCAAGAGAAGTTTCGCTGTCACGGAGGTATGGAAAGACTGCTAATACTGTGGACACTTTGTATAACTTTACCTTGAAGAATATAAGGAAATGTTGTCACTTATACCTCATCACTTATACCTCATCGTCAATAACCCAGGCTATTGCATTTAGTAGGACTCACATGATACTAGGATTACTCCTAATTTCACCTGAAGAATGCTCATTTCTATAGGAATTTGCAGTGAGACATGTTTGTCTTAGATTTAAATGTGATGCTATTTTGATGAGCAAATGTCTAAATTTCTACTTTTTCATATATCTTTTATCCACAAATGCAGAAAAAATGCTGTTCTGAATTACAGCAATAGTATCTGAGATTGACATTAACAGTGTCTGGTTTAACCATTAATTGCTGGTCATAATGTGGACTTCAAAATATCCTTCAAAATCTAATCAAAACTTTACTAACTTCCAAGTGGTGACTAGTGATAACTCATTTGTGGGTTTAGAAAAATTGACATACCTTAACCAGTAATTCTTAGATTACAGAATCATAGATTTCTAAAACTGAAAACAAGGAGGTATGGAAAGACTGCTAATACTGTGGACACTTTGTATAACTTTACCTTGAAGAATATAAGGAAATGTTGTCACTTATACCTCATCGTCAATAACCCAGGCTATTGCATTTAGTAGGACTCACATGATACTNACTAGTGATAACTCATTTGTGGGTTTAGAAAAATTGACATACCTTAACCAGTAATTCTTAGATTACAGAATCATAGATTTCTAAAACTGAAAACAACCAATTCCCTTCATTTACATTTGGGAAACTAATACCCAGAGATACTAAGTGATTTGCCTAAGGCACACAAATAGTCAGAATCTACTTCTTTCTACTTCAGTACTCTGCCTTTACACTGTAATAGGAAAGAAACTACAAAATAAGGCAGAAACGAGTTGATTAAAGTACAAGACAGAAAGAT